ATAGGTAATTCTAAAAATACTAGTAATTTAGGCAGACACTTTTGAGAGAGTTTATAATTAATAAATCAACCCCAAAGTTGATTTTTTTAAATATGATTTGAAGTGTTTGATTCAGGCTGAAATTTTAATAGCTTCTTATTTAAATATATAAAAAATTAATTCCAAGAAGGCAGACACTTTTTCCGGGGTTTAATTGCCGGCCAACATAAAAATAAATGAACCTCGTTATGCGCCACTATGCATTGAATAAGTATATACTTTTTAAAAACTAAACATTTTAAATTACCAAGACTGTGAAATAATAAAACAATAATATTTTTTCTTCTTTTTTAGGAAAAAAAAACGAAAAAAAAAACGAAAAAAAAAAAAACTAAAAGTTTCGGGGCTCGAACCACCAACTTGCTATCCACACTATCCAAATTTTTCGCAGTACCTGGTGTCCCGGGGTGGGTCTAGCCAACACAGGTATATCTGCTTTTCCATCCAAATAAATTTCAAAGTACAAAATGTCAAAGTGCATCAAACACTTAATGAAATGTGTGTTACTAGCTCTCCGGCTATATGTTCCAAATTTCAGCTTTCTAGGCTCAGTAGTTTTGGCTGTACGCTGATAGGTCAGTCAGTCAGTCAGTCAGTCAGTCAGTCAGTCAGTCAGTCAGTCAGTCAGTCAGTCAGTCAGTCAGTCAGTCAGTCAGTCAGTCAGTCAGTCAGTCAGTCAGTCAGTCAGTCAGTCAGTCAGTCAGTCAGTCAGTCAGTCAGTCAGTCAGTCAGTCAGTCAGTCAGTCAGTCAGTCAGTCAGTCAGTCAGTCAGTCAGTCAGTCAGTCAGTCAGTCAGTCAGTCAGTCAGTCAGTCAGTCAGTCAGTCAGTCAGTCAGTCAGTCAGTCAGTCAGTCAGTCAGTCAGTCAGTCAGTCAGTCAGTCAGTCAGTCAGTCAGTCAGTCAGTCAGTCAGTCAGTCAGTCAGTCAGTCAGTCAGTAAGTCAGTCAGGATAAACAATTTTATATAGATAGATAACATAATCTATCATAAACGTTCATGTTGGTTTATGCCGCAAAAAATACCTTATAGTACCTATATATGTTTACGGTGCGATTTTGTGTTTTTTAAAAGTTTTTAGAGAATTTAGAAATTATTTATGCATTTTTTAGAGTAAATGAAGTTACAAAAATATCGAATTATTAATATTTTGTTTTTTAACAGTTTTTAAGTAAATGAACTTTTAAAAATATCGTGTTTTTAAAATTTATTTTATTGAATAATATTTGAACATTTTTGGTAAAAAAATTTTTTGAAACATATTTGAATAGATTTGTTAAGTTTTCTTAATAAAACATGGACACATATTTTCTAAATCATAGTCTGTTGTTTTAGATTGCAATACCTGGGCAGATTTACAGTTTTTATCTATAATTCTTTTTTTGAAAAATATGCGTAACATTTTAAAATTGGGGCCTAAATTAGTGGAGGTATTTTAAAAGAAAACTATCAAACGAAGACAAAGAAATTTTAGCAAATTAAAAAAAAGTTAGCACATAGAAACATTTTTAATTAGTTTTTTTTTTTTAAAAACGTTGTTCTTGATAACAATTTCTGTATCACTTAGAAATTCAAAAAATTTCAGTACCCCAGCATTGGTTTAGTTTTATTTATTTACCAAAGTAATTTGAAATCACTTAAAAATAAGTACAAAGATTAAGCATATTTTTAACAGACTTCAAAAAAGGATGTTATCAATTCGTCGCGATATTTTTTTTTATGTATGTTCAGCGATTATTCTTTAACACGGTGTCCGATTTCAATGATTCTTTTTTTGTTAGAAAGGGGGTATTTCAGGGGTGGTCCATTATAAATTTAGTCAAAATCTAATAATTGGGTCTATGAGAAAATCCTCAAACTCTTCATTTTTTATGTATGTTTAGCGATAATGCTTTACCACCTTGTCCGATTTATATGATTCTTTTTTTGTTAGTAAGGGGGTACCTCAGGGGTGGTCCCATATAAATTTGGTTAAGATGTGGTGATGGCATCTGCACGTTTTTGAAGTCGGTTTTTTAAATTTTTAATTTCTAATACTTGTTTAGTTCCTTTAGACATTTTCAATTAATATTGAAATTTAAAAGTGCTTTATTATCCACCATAAAACATTATTTATATTTTACTTCATAAATTTTAATCTCAATTAATAATTCGTGATAGACCTATTTATCAAGAACTTTTTTCGTAAAACCATTTAATATAGTATATTACATTACGAGTGTGGAAAGTGACATTTTTCACACGAGTTGGAAATATTGTCGCACGAGGCACAAGCCGAGTGCGACTATCACACGAGTGTGGAAAATCACTTTTCACACAAGTGATGCACAATATTTTTCCTACGACCACAAAATAATTTCATCAAAAAATGTAAAACCAGGTTATTATTATAATAATTAAAATGTATTTAAAAAAAAATAATCAACAATAATCGTATTTATTCAATTTTCATATTTTCTAAACAAAAAAATTAAAAAACAAAAAAAAATAAAATAAACAAAAAAAAAATTCTGGCTTGCGTCAATTGAATGATCTAATTTAACCAGAATAAAAAGCAAACATATCTTAGTTATTTTAAAATTATTTTAATAATAATTGTTAAAGATAAATATCTATGATCTAATTCACAACAATTTCAATAATTTGACAATCATATAGATTTTAGTATTAATATGGAAATAGATCAAAATAAAAATGATATGTTTGATATTTTGTGACAACTGTTGCGGAAAGTAGCATATTCGTACACGGGTGGAAAGTAAATTCTTATTCACAGGCGTGTGATATAGGGCCCTTTCCATAGGACTATATAGTGTGACATGTGTCACTTTCCTAAGTGGTCGTAGGAAAAGAAATTTTTCCATATATGACAGCTTAGGTATAATCTATATAGTTGTTAAAAAATGTTATATTGCTTTATTGTTTTTAAAAAATAATTTTCAGGAAAGTGTTTATAACTAAGCATATATTTTTTTTAATAAACAATAATATGCTATTTGTATAAACTCAATATTTATTTTTTCATTATTATTAGGTATAGTTAAATTATTAGTACAAGAAGGTAGGTAAATCTTTATTTTACTTAATATACAGTGTGTTCAATTAAGTTGGCACCATATGGAAAAGTTGCATGGTCTAAAAACTAAAAGACGGCCGTCTGATATCAAATTTTATCAGTCGTATACGAGGTTTGTCAAAAATAAAAGTACTTTACCTTTGAGCAAAATTTACATTTTTTGACGCACCTCGTATACGGATCAAAAACAGTTATATCTGATGCTTTTATTTTGAGTTTTAGACCATGCAAAATCTTTTATAAAAAATAACTTTTTTCCGTAAAACTAACAATAAAAAAGTTTCTCATATGGTGCCGACTTAATTGGACGACACACTGTATATGATGCGAGAGAGTAAAATCTTTTTATATTATAATATAATTTATCTTCTTCTTGTAGGTACATTTTTATTTATTTAAAAAAAAATTGTCATATATTTGCAAGTCACGTGTAATTACATATTTGCTTTTATAAAGCGTCTGAAAGTGTAATGACAGTGACGTAAAGGCTTTGTCCTACGGATAACAAATCTGAGAACTCGGTTATCCTGTAGTATATAGTCGTTGTCTCGTAAAAACAATGCAGTACAATCCCTTCACTTAAATCAGTTTCGCTATCAGTTTCGCTATAATTATTATGCTTTGGTAATGATTCTGTTCTATTTTAATCTCTGTCTTCACGTTAAGTTAAATAAGGAAATTGATAAATGCAAGACAGATAACGCGATTTCAACGCTGTCGATTTGACACGATAGTGTTCTCTACAATCGTAGATTTGAAACCATCGATAATTTGACACAGAGTACCATTTTTACACTTCAATATCGTTTCGTAGAATTCTACGAAGCATAGAGTTCCTCTCCTGGTATATGGAGTGAATTGATACAAAAGACATCTCTCGATGTCTCGACCCCCGACAGCCTAAGGAAGAGCTGTTGGTCACGAACAGTTTTATGTTACCTGTTAGAGAGTCAGTTTCGCATGCAATCTTGTCATATTAGCAGATAAGAACCGTACCAAAAATGTGCTATACGAAGCTATTTTTAATTAGATTAATATACTTAAATTTTAGAATACTCTACTTAACTTTAATGTAGAATACAATCACATACATACCATGAACCGTAAACATATATTATCGCACCTTGTTAAGAAGTCTTGCATTTTTTTAAACACGACTCCACGCGTGCAAAGGGGGCAACGGCTGGTTAAGTATATTCTTTATACATAGAAAATATATTTATATATCTTTTAAATGCTTTCAATGCAGGTATGGTGAAATACAAGTCTCAAAATATGTACTGCAGTTTAAATATCCTATTTTCATATTTTCTCATTTAAAATAGCAGTAAGGACTTCGGTATCTAGAATTGGGTGGAGAGTTGGTTAGGAGGGGGAATTGGGAATGCCCCTACTTGAAATAAAGGCATATTCAAAGACGCATTTTAAAATTATTTTTGCTTTTTAACATTATGGCACGTGACTCTAATATAGTCCTTGTATTAATATTATTAAACTATATCTCATTTAAAAATAAAATACTTTATTAAAATAATTTTAATATAAATTAAACACAATCCCTAGATTCACTATTGACATGCCTTTGTTTTACAATAAATGTTCAAGCTTATATAGAAATAAACGCAACCTGCTTCTACCTCGCATGCCGCCCAACAGGTGGCTAATTTTTGAGGAAACGTAGTCCGATTTTTCGAGAATTTTCAACGTAACTTATTTTATGTGATAGAGATGACGTACATACCAAAAACGCTTTAAAAAACTACAGCATAGCATCTTGTATAAACATGAAATAGTTCGTGTAACAGCGACGTCATTAAATCCGTCATTAAACAATAAAACCGTTACATATATCGGATTCTGGATTAAACGGAAACAGAAAAAACCATACCTGTATGAAGCGTGAACCTTTTCAATCCAACCTCTTCGTATCAGAGCTTGTCGTATAACTGGATAACATCCTCTTACAGTGAATGTCCTTCGCTTCGTTATAGCATCATCGACTTCATCTTTTAGAACTCCAAACGGATTGTAGACGTCTTTCGGCATTTGAGATCTAAAATGAAAATAAACATGTTGTGAAATCGCATTTATTATATGAATCCAATGTTTGATGCCATAAGATAGAAGAACACTGGGGGTATATCTGAAGAATAAATAACTAAAGGACGTGGTAGAATAATGTTTGAATTGTTAAGGAGGTAAGGAAAGTTCTGCTGCTCAAAAAACTTATACGCGCATGTTGGAAATAAAGACAACAGGAATTTAGCATGAAGATTGAAGAGTCTTCTTAGCAGCATCCACTGATTGTAATAAAGGTAAGTGCACCAAATTAGAGGCAAAAGACTGAAAGGAATGAAAGAAACTACCAATGCCCAACTCCAGGGCAGTACAGATATTGATGATATAAAAGTAAGAGTGACATTTTAATTGGAAAATGGAAAAATGCGGAAAATGTCCAACTGAAGTTAATAATAACGAAGGGTACATACCTTTTCTTTAATGACATTATACTTCCACTAAGAGAGTTTGAACTTGTTCTAACAAAACTGTATCCAGGATTAGCCGAATGAGTAGTAATAACCAGATTACTGGGCTTCTCACATTTTGTGAAGGATTTTACAGATGGACTGTTACTGGAGATGGAGGTCTTTGATCGCCTATGAAAATAAATTAGCATTTGTAAAAAAAATTATTTGCGATATCGGTGCGTTCACTCTATTGCACTCGTACTCAAATCCGCTGCGTCGTGAGAGTGAGTGGAAATATTTATAGCATGAACACGAACACGAAGATCAGAGGAAGGCCTAAAGTTTCATAAACTTTTAAACAGTTGTAACAAATTAAGGAGTAGATGTAATCGAGTATAGGGGAATTGTGCCTGAGATGGCTTACCCGGGCGAGACGGCATACTGGCGGTTTTACCGAAAACACTTTAAATCTGGCAACTACGTGCATTGGTTTATATGCATTTTGACATAGAACGGTCGCTGTGTAAATTTAGTTCACCTCACGGGGGTTTATATCATATGCACAATACGTAAACACGTTTCTGCGCATACTCCTCCGCGCTTGGGTGCTCTGAAGTCCGTTTTACAATAGCAAAATTGTATTAAAATGTAAAGCACATTGATTAATTTAATAACATCTCGTTCAGTAACACACAAAAAGTGTTGTTTCAAAAATTTTAATTCATATATTGCAACAAACTAAAAAAACATACCTTCACTTAGTTATTTGTACTATGTGAAGATGGCTTTCGGTCCGCTGCATGACTGCTGGCTGCCCGCTATAGCGGGCCCCGCGTGCGCTGTCAACAAATAACATCAAAATCAAACAAATGTGTGGTTATGTCATGATTTGGTTGTCGACGAAAACGTGAGTGGAACTACTTTTATTTTTTTAGATATAAGTTATTTAGGATTATTTAAAATCAAGTAAAGGTATTTTGATGCTTTAACATGTCTTTACTAGGCAGAATTCATTATAAACGCATAATTTCTAATGGTTATACTTAGTACATTTTATAAGGCCCATTCCAAACGTAAATTTTAAGAACAAACATTTTTAAATTTCCTTCTGATATTGATCAAAGAACGGAATGGTGTCGTATTTTAAACATTCCACTTACAACCCCAATCATTATACATTATGAGAAAATCATATTTTGATACAAAATTGTTTACAAACACAAATCGTTCAAGACTGCTAAAAGATTTGCTTTACCTTGCTTTAGCATCCTCAAAACCAGATACACCAAAGATAGTAGTACTTAGTAATATTGTTATCACACCTCCAAACAGAGTCCTGTGAGGATAAAGTTCATTCTAATAATATATATAAAATTAAAAAATGAAGCAGAATTTGAGTCAGGCCACTAGTTATGTTGCAGGGTTTATTAAGAAACTTAATAGTTTTGACTGCAGAGTGTAAAGTTAATTTACAGACATGTTAGAAGACCATCGATACTTTTACTTATTTTAAAGAAAATTATGATAAGACGTTTTATTTATGTACAAAGAAATGTTATTGTATTTCTTTCAAAAATTCTTGAAATAGTTTCACAACTTTTGGGTCATATTGACAACATTCAAAAAATTAAACTTTTTTGCCAGACCATGTTGATTTTAAATGGTTTAGATCAGAGGCGACTCGTGGCCTAGTCTATGAGGAGACTACTTTTAAAAGGCACACCCTATATACTTAATAAAAATATATGTCTATAAGAATTCAAAAAGCAGAAATATTACATAATAGAAATATATATTTGTATAAAGTATATAGGATGAGCCAGCTTCCTCACAGACTAGGCCACAAGCCATCTCTGGTTTACATATAAAGAACATAAAACATACGTCTTTTCTCATTTAGTTGAAACTTGCCTACTATTAATAATAAGAAAGTATTATAATGATAGTATGAGGGCTGCTGCAATGTCTAAAAGACAGACAAAATGATTTGAAGTTACTGCATTTAATTTTTTTCTGTTTCAGTTTATATGGATGGTTGCTTTTGTCTGATTTCCTAAGATTCAAGAAGAATTTGTTGTTTTTTGTTTATTTTAAAAATTTATTTACTTAGGCATTAGTTTTCATATCAAGTAAATTAATTATTTGTTATGCAATTTCTGATTTTTGTTAGCCAAAGATAGATAACGTACCGAAATAGTAATGTAATGTTTGTGATATTAGAGTAACTTTCTTAAAGAATCATTTATAAGACGTCCGGGAGCGCCATAGTAAATAATAATAATAATAATAATAATAATAATAATAATAATAATAATAATAATAATAATAATAATAATAATAATAATAATAATAATAATAATAATAATAATAATAATAATAATAATAATAATAATAATAATAATAATAATAATAAATAATAATAATAATAATAGACATTCTTGCTTCGCATAAGCTCGCTTGTATGGGGGTGAAGTGCATGAAAAATATTTTTTTGTATTGCCATCTCTGATATATTTTTTATTTATTTTTCTTGGGAATTTTTAGTAAATATAATTATATAAAACTTTGTATGATATTTATTTTATCCCTCATAATTATTTGTCATAGAATTTTACATTTTTATTGGGCATTTCATAATTGTTACAAACCGCTAATAAAAAAGGAAAATTTTAATTATAATTAAGAGGAAAATTTACTTAAGCAATTATCTTTTTCTAAACAATACGAAATAGAGCCACAAATATTTCTATAGTTTAATTTTACTTTTTAGTGAATGAAAAATATATACCTTCAGGTAAAAGTGAAATGTCTGTTTTTCTGGAGCCACTATTCTGAAATTTGATTTAATTATTTTGTCAATTTTTGAAATCTTTATAAAAACAAAATTTTGCGATTTATTGCCATCAAAATTTAATTAAATTTTGAAAAAGTGGCTCCAGAGGAACATATTTGAGCTACACGTACATGTTTTTTATTTCACTAAAAAATTAAAAAAATTACTATCAAAATTTTGTATGGCTATATTTCGTATTAGTTAGAAAATAATTGCAAAAGTAAATTCTCCTTTAAAAAACCCGCCAATTTTCAAATTGAATATAAAATTACGGGTAACTGCATTACCGACAGAGTAAGAGTTGATGGTAATACTGCTGGTAACTACATTACCGACAGAGATTAGTTCTACTCCTCCACCCCACAGGTCGTTGCAAGCAAACATGTTGCCAAATTTCTACAAAGAAACGGCAACTCTTAATAATCTTTCCTCCATGGTTCACCTGTAAGTGTCGACGGAGTACGTACGGTGTGTTGCATATTGTTGGTCCTTGGAAAGTTTCCCGTAAGAAATCATATAGGTGTTTGTTACTTCGAGAGTTTAAACTTTTGCTGAAATTTGCTAATGTAGCAGTGTTTAATTGTTAAAGCTCTACACACCTGTTGCTAACAACATACGTCTAAAATAAATCATGCATTTCAGGGAGAGATGGCATTGCAATAACCAGGTTAAGATGACATGGTATGCTGTCTCACCCTGAAGTATGCCATGTCACTCACAATTGATATAGAGCCTAATTTCTCCATTTTTTTTACAGATTTTTAAATATGGTTGGCAAAACGACCGCAAGTCTAAGCGACAAAGTTTGAGAGAAAAAAATATGGCAGAAGCAAAAATAACCAAATGGAATGGCTTCTGGCATCAAAAACATTTAATGTACCTCATACAATGTTAAGAAGACGTGCTAAAAATGATCGTGGATCCGGTAAGGGTTACTTAGGAGGACATGTTCCAACTTTTGATGTCCAGTTGGAAAATAAACTGGTGCGCCATGTAAAAGAATTAGAAGTGCGTTTTTTGGACTAACAACGTTAGATATTCGAGGGCTTGCTTATGAAATTGCCGATGTAAAGAAAATTCCAAATAGGTTTTCAAAAGAAATGAAAATGACAAGATAGGATTGGCTGAAGGGATTCCGAAAACGAAACCCTTTTATTTCGCTTCGTACACCAGAAGCAACATCATCTGCAAGAGCTCATGCGTTTAACAAAGTTCAGATTAGAAAGTATTTTAATAATCTTGAGAAGGTACTAGATGAACCCAAATTCTCCCCAGAAAATATATTCAACATGGATGAGTCTGGGCTCTTAACTGTTCCATCAAGAAATTCTAAAATTTTGGCGACTACAGGTAGAAAGCAAGTTGGTGTTTTAACCAGCGCGGAGACAGGCCAAAATCTTACAGTTGTATGCTGTTTTAACGCCATTGGAACTTACGTACCACCTGTTTTATTGTTCTCAAGAAAAAATATGAAGTATGAGCTAATGGATCACGCTCCAGTAGAAGCTTTGGGTTTAGCCCAAAAAAGTGGGAGGATGACAGGACAAACTTTTTTAAAATATCTAAAACATTTTGTCAAGTATGTCAAGCCATCTGTTACGAATAAAGTTCTCCTTCTTTTAGACGGACACAGCAGCCACACAAATTTTGAAGCTCTGACATATGCAAAAGACAACGACATTGTCATATTTTGTTTTCCTCCTCATTGCACCCACAGGGTGCAACCTTTAGATGTTGGCTTAAGTCCAATCCTGGAAGAACGTTAACACATTTTCAAGTCGGTGGTATGCAATAACAGAAAATGCTGTAAACGCATTTTCTTGGGTGTTTCAACCGGCAGAAGTTACTAATCAACAAGAAAATTTAACAGTTACAAAAATCAATGAATTTGATAGCCTGCAGCCATCAGTTTCTGGTTATTCAAATGGTAAGTCAGATGATTCTCAGCCTTCTGTATCAAATGATATTTGTTCACTAAATCCAAATATATCCATACAGGATATTTCTCCGCTGCCTGTTTCTTCTGTGGCGACAAAAATCGCAAACCAAGAAAGGGAGGGAAGAAGTATGGTGTACTAAAAAACACACCTGAAATTAAAATTGCTAAAGCAGCTATTGCAGAAAAAGAAGCAGTGACCTTGCGAAAATCTGCTAGGGCAACGAAAAGGAAATTAGTAGTTGTTGAAGAAAGTGAAGAAGAAATGGAAGGCTTTCACTAGAAGATCACGAAGAAGATGATTTTTGCCTATTCGCTCCGTGCGAAGTCATGGAAAGGGAAGCAAAAGCGATACTAGCGCTAGCTGCGGATAATTTGTGCATTTTAGGGCGATATTTTGTAATTTTGGCATATCAAATACACGTTTACAGTTTACTTTTTTTCAAAAAAGTAGGTGAAAACAATACAATAAGCAACCGGTGTTGCTGTGTTGAAAATTGTACAAATACTAGCAAAAAAAAATAGTGAAACTTATATAAAAAAATTCAGTAGCAAAGTGGAAATTAAATCAAGGAAATAAATGGATAGGTGTACAATAAGAAGAAAAATTACCTTTATTTTTGTAATAATAACAGTAATGCTGGAAATAGTAGACATCAGAAACTTGAAAGGTTTTAAATAAACAATAAATTATCATTTTACGATGTTCTTTAATATCCCTTTATTCTTAAATGTTCATTCAGCAAGGACTAGATTTCAAGATTTCTGCCTTTGATTATTATTATTATATGTGGCTGGAATACAATTTTGTAACTTACTGATGGGAAACCAGTTTTAATTATTCATTCTATGTTTTCTTTCCAACAAAAATGAAAATATAAATAACGATCCTTTTTTTATACATTTTAACTTCACGCTATTATTAAATAGTATTTTTTTATTTTAAAAGAATAATTCTTCAATGACAACTTATTAGACTTAGGCAACTTCTCATACATTTTCCAGTAAATACTGTTGCCTGCCTATATTTTATTATTTATTTTTATTGATTATACATAATTTTCTTTAATTTAAGAAATAAAAATATATAATAATAATAAATTAATGTTTTACTTGTTTTACAAATCCATATACTTTTATTAAAACTAACATATATACTTTTTAATTACGAATTCTATTAAAAATTGCATTTGTCAGTATACACAGAAATACTGCAACGACCTTCATTCCTTTTCTCGCTCAAATGAAGACTAGATACGCTGTCAGAAATGCAATCAATGGTGTCTTTCCGAGTGTGCTGGGGTCAACAAAAGAGTTAAGCAGTTCACTTGCGATGTCTGCAATTAAGATGGACTTTCTTAACGTTGTTTATTTATATTTGTTTAAAGTTCTGAAAAAAAATTATTTGCGGTTCAAAATACCACTAGTTAGGTATATTTAACTTTAACTTTCTACTATAAATGTGTTTTTATGCGCATTTATGTGCATTTATGTTGTGTTCTTATAAGTTCGTTTTGTTTTCTAGGAACAATCCATATTAATAAAATGTTACTCTGCATTACGTACGAACACATACTTTGATTTTCTTTTACTATACGGAGAATGGTCGCACTGCGCAGCTTTCTGAGTGCCTTTTAAAAGGAGATAGAAAACTCCGCCATTTTGAACCCTTATTACGTGTTGCCTACATCTTGGCGCAATATTTTTAATAGGTGCGTTTTAATCATCCGCTTCTGCTTCAGAATTGTCGGTTTTCTTGTTTTAATCTGACAGGTTAAAACGACTAAACCGATAATTCCGGAAGCAGAAGCGGATGATTAAAACGCACCTGATATTTTGCTTGCTGCTGTCAGTGTCAGTGAATATTATTTTTAAAGTCACAGTTTATTGCTAAAGAATCAGTTAGCTCACTCGGACCAGTTGAAAGTTCCAAAATAACATCCACTCCAGGGATACAAATTCAGGATACGCAGAAGACAGCTGTTTTATTATAGGCGGTTGTCATATATTGTATTATCCGAGTTGCACAGTGTATAAACTGAAACATTGAGATCAAAAGTGCCGACGCAGAGTGAGCGATCTGATTCTTTAGCTGTAAAGTGGGTCACAGGGTTCAAAATGGCCGCGCCCTATGTTGGGCGTCTCGGGCCTCTCTCTTGCCTCGTATAGTAATCAAAGTATGTGCGTACGAAGGTCTTGGGGTGAGATGGCATAGTATGTCATCTTATCCCCATATATCAGTGTGAGATGGCACAGTAACACTTTTCTTTTCAGTTACAGTAAAAATAAATTTTTTTAAGTTATATCCTAATCAGTTGTTGTTACGTGTAGAGAATAATTAAAAAATGAACAAAACCGATCGTATTTCTTAATATAATTCGTTTCGCGGAAAAAATATGGGCTCATACAAAAAGTATGCCATCTCAGGCACAATTCCCCTACCTTTAAGTATTGTATCGTACTATTTATTTTTCTAATTGAGAATATCTTGAAATGCTTGGATTATTATTAAAATGTTCCACCTATCATACTTGTTGTTGCCTTTTAGGTACAATTTTATACACATTTTTGCAATATTACACCTTGTCGAAAGCGAAATGCTAAAAATGCTAAAAATGTTAAAAATTCTAAAAATGCTAAAAATGCTAAAAATGTTAAAAATGCTAAAAATGCTAAAAATGCTAAAAATGCTAAAAATGCTAAAAATGTTAAAAATGCTTAAAAAAATGCTAAAAATGCTAAAAATGCTAAAAATGCTAAAAATGCTAAAAATGCTAAAAATGCTAAAAATGCTAAAAATGTTAAAAATGTTAAAAATGTTAAAAATGTTAAAAATGTTAAAAATGTTAAAAATGTTAAAAATGTTAAAAATGTTAAAAATGTTAAAAATGTTAAAAATGTTAAAAATGTTAAAAATGTTAAAAATGTTAAAAATGTTTAAAATGCTAAAAATGTTAAAAATGCTAAAAATGTTTAAAATGCTAAAAATGCTAAAAAAAAAATGCTAAAAAAAAATGCTAAAAATGCTAAAAATGCTAAAAATGCTAAAAATGCTAAAAATGCTAAAAATGCTAAAAATGCTAAAAATGTTTAAAATGCTAAAAATGCCAAAAATGCTAAAAATGTTAAAAATGTTAAAAATGTTAAAAATGTTAAAAATGTTAAAAATGTTAAAAATGCTCAAAATGCTCAAAATGCTCAAAATGCTCAAAATGCTCAAAATGCTCAAAATGTTCAAAATGCTAGAAATGCTAGAAATGCTAAAATGCTAAAAATGTTTAAAAAAATGCTTAAAAAAATGCTTAAAAAAATGCTAAAAAATGCTAAAAAAAAAATGCTAAAAAAATGTTAAAATGCTAAAAATGCTAAAATGCTAAAAATGCTAAAAATGCTAAAAATGTTAAAAATGCTAAAAATGCTAAAAATGCTAAAAATGCTAAAAATGCTAAAAATGCTAAAAATGCTAAAAATGCTAAAAATGTTAAAAATGCTAAAAATGTTAAAAATGCTATAAAAAAAATGTTTAAAATGTTAAAAACGCTAAAAATGCTAAAAGTATACTGATACAGTTTCTGTTGTAATAAACATACAGGGTTGGACAAAATGAGCGATATACAGCTCTATAGGACATTTAAATAACAAAAAATGCTCGGTAGACAGGTTGTTTTTGTTTTTTAGATGCCCATAAATGAATAAAAGTTTTAAATTTGCACATATTAAAACATCTGCTAGAACAAACTTCAGAGCAAACAATATTTAACAAGGTTCAATATACAGTTTGGAACAGCTAAATAGAATAAATTCGGTAATAAATATACGGGACGTGTTTGGACAAACTATTGGACACGTCGATTGCTATTTTTAGTTGCGCATTTTTTTTAACAGAAACATTTTATACAGGGTGTGTCATTTAACAGTGGCCAATACCAACTTTCTTATTTTAAATGCAACAACCTGTATATTTTTAAATTTTTGGATTTTTCAGAAAATTCTAGATATATACCTAACTGTTTAGGAAATATTAAATGTTTTCCGATTTATTGCAAAAATTAACTTTAATAAAATACTGTTTATTTCTTGATAATGTTACAAAAAAAAAACACAATAATATGTTATTTTTATTACCTCGGTAGTGATTTGGTCAATGGTTTCGATGCAATAAACGTTTTTTTAAGGATGTTCTCAATTGTTGGTATGACCGGTGGTTTTAGAGGTGGCACATTGATACAATTTCGAACATTTTCCCCTATCTTTGAGATATGTGATACACTTTTTTGCAAATCTTTACTTCTACTGCTACTACTGCGTTGTTGTATTTTTCGTTTTAAACTCGGCCTAAAAGAGAAAACAAAGCTTGTATCTTCATAAATAGAGTATTTTAAATAAGAAGCGTGATAATGGATCACAGGTGTGTCAGGAAGGGACTGAAAGTTTCGGTACAATAACGACGCAAGGGGTAAGTGGCAAATGGTAAATTTGATGTCAAATGTCAGGCCCAAAATCGTAGCTGTTCGTCTAGACCAGCGTTACTCAAAGTGTGGTCCGCGGAGTCTTGGGGCTCCGCAAAGCCTTTGCGAGGGCTCCGCGGGACGTCCTAGGGACGTAAATCGGACGTCCGAGGGACATAATCCATAAATGGTAATAATAACAAAAATGATAACAATAAAATAACTTTATTTAACAACGTTTATCCTGAAAAAACTAGCTAGAGTTAAACGTTTTCAGTTTACAAAAAAAAAAACAGGAATGAATTAAATTTAACACACACCGCTGGTAAGATGAAACCTTGGGCCCTATTTATAGCTTGGGTTGACATAACTGAATTTGATAATTTTGTCAAAATTTAATGTTATTGCAACTTTCCACCAGCGGCTACCGCCAATACACCTCACTTATTCTCACCTCAACACAAAACACTCTCTTCACTTTATAACAACCACTTTACCATCAACATAAAAAAAAATAACAAATAACACTAAACCGGGTGTTCAAATTAAAGTGTTACAGTTAAATACCGCCGAAAATATGCATTTTCGAAAAAAAAGTTTCAGACAAAAGTTTTATAGTTTTTTGGGGGAAACATTTTGGCTAAATTTATTTTTTTATAGCTGACCATAATATGGCCATATCGAGGTGAACTTTGTTTTTTTAAGCGGGAATCCCATTTTTTTCTTACATATTCTTAAAGTACATAAAAAAATAAGAAACTTTTGAGGGAAATATTTTTTTTATTGGACTTTTACTTTTTGAGTAACAGCTACTTGAAAATGTTGCTGCGCGAAAAAAAAGTTGGCCATATTATGGTTAGCTATAAAAAACGATTTTAGCCAAACGTTTTTCCCTACAAAACTATAAAACTTTCGTCTGAAACGTTTTTTTTTATAAGAAGCTGTATATAGCTGTAACGCTTTAATTTAGAACACCCGGTATAACCTTTTTTTTCTTTGTTAATATAATAACTCACTTATATAATTTAATTATTTAATGCCGAAAATTGTAGCTGTTGTTGTTCATTTGAAAATAAATGATAAGATTGTTTTCTGTACTCATACTCTTGCAAAAACAAAACGTTGAATTTCAAGTTATCGATTAAAAGACCAACGATGCTAGTACATAGAAAGTCCCATAGACGTCCCATTAACGTCCTGGACTCAGACCGAAAACTAAACGCTTTGTCGAAACGGGACCAAAATAGGACGTCCTTCGAAGGACGTCCTAGTGTTCACGGTAATCGGAAGTCCAGTGGACGTCCTATTTAGGTCTGGGACCAACCGGACCAACAAGATACCAAATCAGGTGCTATCTAGAAACGGGACTCGGCTTGAGGATCTTCCAATTTTTTTGTTGTAATGTTTTTGATTTTTTGGGTTGGAGGACTTTTTTTTTTAGACGACAGGAAGAGAAAGGAGTATATGATTTTGGTATTTTGGGTTGGAGCACCTTTTTTTTAGAAGTCAGGAAGAGGAAGGCGTATATGATTTTGGTATAAGGATGACATGATTTTGAGAATTTTCTTGTAGGGGTTCCGCAAAAAAACTGGCCTGGGAAGAGGCTGGAGCAAGGAGGAATTTTTTTCCGAAATGTGTTTAGGGTTTTGTCAAATATTTCACTTTTCAAAAAGGTTCCGTCACCAAAAAAGTTTGAGAACCACTGGTCTAGACGAATAGCTAATGAATCTCAGATTTTTCCATTTATTTCGCATAAAATTTTCTTTCTTGCAGACTATTGCGACCACATACTTCGATGATTTTCTCTTACTATACGGAGAATGGTCGCACTGCGCAGCTTTCTGAGTGCCTTTTAAAAGGAGATAGAAAACTTCGCCATTTTGAACCCTTATTACGTGTTGCCTACATCTTGGCGCAATATTTTTAATAGGTGCGTTTTAATCATCCGCTTCTGCTTCGGAATTGTCGTTCTTGTTTTAATCTGACAGGTTGAAACGACTAAACCGACAATTCCGGAAGCAGAAGCGGATGATTAAAACGCACTTGATATTTTGCTTGCTGCTGTCATTGTCAGTGAATATTATTTTTGGAGTCACAGTTTATTGCTAAAGAATCAGTTAGCTCACTCTGACCAGTTGAAAATACCAAAATAACATCCACTCCAGGGATACAAATTCAGGATACACAGAAGACTGCTGTTGTATTATAGGCGGTTGTCATATATTGTATTATCCGAGTTGCGCAGTGTATAAACTGGAACATTCAGATCAAAAGTGCCGACGCAGAGTGAGCGATCTGATTCTTTAGCTATAAACTGTGGCATAGGATTCAAAATGGCCGCGCCCTATGTTGGGCGTGTCGCACCTCTCTCTTGCATCGTATAGTAAAGAAAATCAAAGTATGTGGATTGACCCTTCAACTATAAAACTTATAGGGATCTGCGACATGATTATGAAAAATGTTGTGCTCTTGGAGGTAAAAAAATATATCTGGACAGAGTGGGAGTTCCATACACGCTCCGCTATTTTACGATGCTGGCGACGTGACAGTGGTACAAAAATGTGTAATCCCAGAACTCCATATATTGCAAGGATTCGTGAACCATTTATTTTGGAAAGGTCGGTTTGTCCCGCTACTTGGTAGGGAAACGGTTTTAAAATGGCCTTATAGTTTAAACCTAGTCTCGAAGAATTATCATGGAAAAGCGTTCGAAGAAAATGCGTGTCTAAAACTATTGAAATCATCAGACAAATTACTAGATCGTGAAATCTGCCAACACGTAGGGGGACAATTCCCTCTTCGTCCATTTGTGGCAGCATTTAAGGGCATGGATCAAATCGTGCATTTTTGTTCTGGAGCAAGTCATTTTAGGTATGTTTTCTAGTCCATTCGGAGATTGTTCCTAAAATCTATAGGTTAGAATTTTAACTCGTTCGTTAAGTTTTCCTTTTTAATAACCAATTTTTACACCACTTTGCTTCGCTTCTTTTTCACTATTTTTGTATCATATTTCCAAATTAAGGTAAGGCATACCAATGCCAGGGTATCGTCGTCTTCAATCGACGTCATAGCGTCAGAGCTCTCCGGTTTCCGACATACCGGATCGTCACATACATAATAATAATAATACGTTTATTGCTTATAAACCTAAGTTACAGCAAGAGTTAAGGTTTTATAATATATACAAAAAAAAATTCAAAACAAAATTGTAATAAACAAAATTAACAATAGGTCCAGTAGTAGGTAATGCTCACTAATGCTGATCGTAGGGTGACCATAAAGAAATTTATGCGATATAAATAAATAAAAAAAATAAAAAATTATAAAAATAAAAAAAAAATCAGTTACATATCGACCAGCACCCGTGAACCCTATTACTGAAAGTTTACTAAATTATAATTTATTCATTTAAAATAAATAATCTTAATTTTAAAATATTGCATATATAAGAAAATATACATTATGCTTCTGGTTCGGTTATATTTTCTAATGCATAGATTAAAGCCTCCAGATCGTTTAAACAATTTGTTTTCGGTTTCATAACATTATACAGGGTGGCTCACGCTCGACGGGACGGAGCTTTATGGGAAAACGACCAGAGATATAAAAAATTCGTTTGGGAGGAATACGTAGGTTACAGACGGCTACAATTTAAAATTTGTTAGATGTATACATGATGTCCCACATAAGAGAAAATATACAAAGTTTTATTATTTTTAATGGAACACCCTGTTTTTTATTTTAGAATTAAAAACTACATCAAAAATAATGTCAGTTAACTAAAGGTTCCCTATTACTATTAATATTAGTTTTCGATTTATTTGAATTTTTAAGGAAAAAAAGTCTCCCATAAATTAATTGTTTACTCTTGTTTGAATAATTTTTAATGAACTAATTTTTTTTTTCTTATGTGGGACATCCTGTATACATCTAACAAATTTTAAATTGTAGCCGTCTGTAACCTACGTATTCCTCCCAAACGAATTTTTTATATCTTTGGTCGTTTTCCCATAAAGCTCCGTTCCGTTGAGCGTGAGCCACCCTGTATATTGGACAATCGAACAAGATATGTGTAAGAGATTCATTTACATTTATGTTACATACCGTGCAAACATTATTGGGATCTATTACATATATATTATTATTAAGTGTAAATTTTAACCGAAATTTATTAGTTAATCGGAGTTGTGCAAGTGTTCGTGTAACTTGTATGGGCAATTTTTTTAGAAGTAAATATTTTTGGGGAATTTTATCAGGGGAAAAAGCTGTATTTAAGGACAAAAACTGACAGCGTGTAATTCCTATAATAACAAAATTATAAAGTTTATTGTAATAAGCAGTTAGTAACTTGTTTTTGTTTAGTTTTAGGTTATTAGCATCAAGATTTATCCATATGTCTTCATGGTCAATTAATTTAAATAAGTGTCTAACTTGAGCAGCCCAATTATATTTTACTCCTCCAGAGTTAATCAGATGAAGCTGTCTATTAAAACAAAGCTTTGGATATCGATTATCATTCTAACTTAAGATTTTATGCAGCCAGTTTAAAGTCATTTTGAATATATTATAGGAATATTTAACTCTGCCAGTTTCTAATCTTATTGCGCAGTCAGGTGTATTAATAGGCACCAATAGCATCCTCTTCAGAAAAGTTATTTGATCCCTTTCTAACACCTCCAAATACCTTAGACTCCACACAGGGGCACAATTAGACATTATGCTAAGAGCTAAGGATTCAAACAACTTTATCCGAGGATACCATGTGTCCATTTTAGCTTTGGACATAACCGGCAAAATTGCTCTTATGGCATGCTAACCCTTTTCTGAAGCTGATAACGACATTTCGTGAAATAAGCCAGAAGATGTAAATGTGACTCTTAAATATTTATATTTATTTGTAAAATTTAGATGTTGACCGTTAAATTTGAAAGGGTAGTTATTTTTTTGAAAACCTCTTCTAGAAAAAGACATGATTTTAGTTTTTTGGATGTTGACGGTAAGGTCATTTAAAGAGGTATATTTTTCTAAAATTTTAATTTTTTTTGTAACATCAATCTCAGAGTGTGCTAGGATTACCATATCGTCGGCATAAAGTAGTGTGAGAACATCATGGATATCATCAATATTCACACCCTGGGCTCCTTCGGCATAAAAAAAATCTTCTATATCAGCTAAAAACATGGCGAAAAGTAGAGGACTTAGAGATTCTCTTTGCAGTACACCCTCAGTTACATAAAAAGACTTAGATAAACCGTTAGAGGATTTAACCCTGACTGAGGCTTTTGAGTATAAATTTATTATAACATTAAGAATTTTCGCCGATATACCTAACCCATATAATGTATTCCACAATAAACGATGATTTACCGAATCAAATGCTCTTTTGAAATCGACGAAAATTGCAAAGAGTTTCCTTTTTCTATGCCTAATATGTAAGTGTATTATCGAACTTAGTATATGTACATTGTCGATACAACCTCGACCTGATCTAAAGCTAGCTTGACACTCGGGTAAGATGTTGCAGATATCAGTCCACAGAGAAAGCCTATCTAGAAAAATATGCATAAATATTTTTGCACAACAGTTAACGAGTGCTATACCTCTGTAATTTGTTGGATCATCTGCAGGCCCGCTCTTATGCAACATAAATAGCATAATATTAGACCAGGAAGTAGGGGTGGTACCATTTTCAAATATGCGATTGTAAAGTGTGGTTAGATATAAAATCCAATTATGGAGGAGGTTTTTAAAAAATTCGTACTTGATACCATCGCTACCAGGAGCTTTATCGTCCCATACATGCTACGACATGAGATCGACCTACGCAGGCACACCTGCACAGGTAGACCGTAGCGTGTATGTCCGCTATTAGATAATATAATGATGTCTATATACAGTCCTTAAATTCGTTAAAATAAATAATGTAGTTTCTTACCGGCTAGGAGTATTGGAATCTAAATCGTTCTTTTTCGAAGGAGAAGAATCTCTGCTAGTTTTAGCCGACTTCGTTTTCACATCTTTGACATTTTGGTTAGGTTTCTGCGTGTTACTCTTTTTCTGGACGATTTTGCTTTTCTCAATTAGAGATGTAGACGTAGACGATCGAAATTTTTCCGAAACTTTATTGCTAGGTACCACAGTAACCGTTTTGCCTAAAACAAGTATGAAATCATAGGAATTTACGTAATGATATTATGTAGATTTAAAGATATGAGATGTTTTTACAATGTCCTATAGTTTCTTTGATTTTATGAAAATCTAATAAAAATATATAAGAATATCTGTATAATTTATAAATAGATTATCTATAGTGAAGTCTATAAGTAACCAATCAATTTCTTTCTCAACATAATTAATTATTTTTAAGTAGAATGAATCCTTTGTTTAAATTTCAGAACAGGACCAGGCACCTGAAAACCCCAATTGGTTAAAACCATTAACAAAGCCAGACTATCCCTCTAGATCCTCAGAACGATATGCGGAAAAGCATGGAGGATCAGTCCTCAACTGATCTACTGGATTTACCAAGTAAAACCCATGGTTACGTACGGCTCTGTCGTCTGATTGGACAAGGGACTTAAACGGACGACTAGCTTGCTGGAATATAAAGATTCGTGTGCCTCGCCATCACGAACTCTGTTAACCACACCGACAGAAGTCATGGAGACCATGCTGGACCTAACCCCTCTCCACGATCTGCTGGAAAGGAGTTGCAACGAAGAATTGTAATGTGACATGACGGGGCTTATGAGTGAGATTAATAACCACCACATATAAAAGACGTACAGCGTCATCATTCCAGAGAGAGACGTACAGAGCAGTGGGGATAAAACTATCTCCCTGAGCTTTTGGCCAGAGGCCTAGAGTTGACATATCAATAAACCTAGGCTCTCTGGCCACGATCTTTCAAGCAGAAATGATTGCTATAGAATTGGGAGCGAGAAAGTTGATTAATTTTTTTCCTGTAAATAAGACTATGAAGATCTTTTCTGACAGCCAGGCAGCCCTCAAGGCCCTGAGCTCTAATTGAGGCACCTAGCTTTATTCCCGAGGTTTTCTTCTTAATAAGAAACCTCAAGTACCCAAAATTTTTATGACTTTTTAAATAGTTTATTTACTTCTTTTTTTTACAATATATCCCCCCGTTTTATATCCAGTATTCTTTTTATTATTAATAGTTTTTTGTCTTGTTGGGCACACAGTAAACTCGACAGCGAAGAAGGTGGACTTTAAAAAGGACCACTCAAAGAAAATAAAGTCCATGATAAAGTAATCAATAATAAAGTCATTTGTAATCCAAGTTAAAGTAATAAGTAATTTTTAATAAAATAATAAGGCAATAAGTAATTTTAAATAAAGTATTAATTTTGGAACGTTTTGTGGGATCTGGTGACGTGCTCTAGGCCTGTGAAGAATGTGGTAAGTCGAAGCCCAATTATTGTAAATTTCTAAAGGTTTGTTCATACTGAGGTGTGATTGACAATAAAATGTATATTTGTATTTTATTTCAAAGACGAAACAGGTACAAAAACACGGCTTCGTGACTCAAAGCTGTTCTGAAACTGTATATAAACCCTTGAATGTCTCACTGTCCGGAACAAAGTTACTTTGATCTGGGTTCCGGGACACAGAGGTGTGAAGGGGAATGAAAAAGCCGACATGTTTCCTGAATTCATAGGACCAGAACCATTCCTGGGCATTGCAAAAAGCACTGCCAAAGGAATTATCTTAAAATGGGCGGAGGGTGCAACACTCACGAACTGGAGAGACATCCCAGGGCTAACTTATTCGATAGCGTTTATAACCCACCCTTCTATGAACACCTCTGCTTAGATCCGAGAATAAACTAGGAAAGATATACACACATTTTCACTGATGATGACAGGACTCTGCCGTCTGGACAACCACATCAGAAGGATAGGTCTGCAACAAACATCGGACTGTTGATTTTGCAGCGAAGAAGATGAAACTGCAGAGCTCATTTTATATACCTGCTCCGATTTGAAAAGAATCAGGTTTCAGATCTTCGGATTTACCCGACTGGAGCCTACCGACTTTAAACAAATCTCACCTAATTAGACCATGGCCTTCTTCAAAAGGTGTAGCTTGTACGGTGAACTATAAGTTAATCATGATCCATCTGGGTCGCAGTGGAAGGCGATGAGATCATCCCACTTATTTTTTACCTAACCTATGGAGAAATGGCTTTCCGTCAAATTAATTAGAATTTTTATAATAACCTAAATTTACTACCGAATTTTAAATCTAGATTTAACCTGTGTTCAATACTAGTTGCTGACATATTCTGCACTATTCAATATTGTGGCTCATAGTACCAACTAAATAATTAGACTTCAAGGTAGGAACACCTCGTAGTGAGAGGGACCTTAGAGCACTCGAACAGTAGCGACCAGACCTCGTGGCCATGTCGCGGCGGTAAAGTACGAAAACCGGTTGATCACGACCAACTTAGATCGTCACTAACAAAATAGTTAGTCAGAGCTAGTGTTGCCAGTCTAGTACAATTGTACTAGATCTAGTACATTCTCTAAGAATCTGGTATTCTAGTAAACTCGAATCAAAACCTAGTACTTTTCCTTTTTTCAGCAAATGTTTCCATTTGACGTGTAAAATATATTGTTGGGGTCTTCATTATTTGTTGCGTTCGTGTTCTCTATAAACCTGTTTTTGCTCTTTAATGATCACACTTCACAATTCGAAAAATTTGGTACATTTTACAGAATCTGGTACATTTTATAGAATCTAGTACATTTTTATGGAATCTGGTACATTTTTTAGACAAATCTGGTACATTATAAAAATATATTCTTGCAGTTGTAAATACCGAGCAAGCACTTATTACTACTGTACTGGTCGCGGTATAATAGTTAACAGCTGGTATGCGCTCGTTTATTGGATACAATGTAAATAGCTGATCGCCTGCACGCCGCTACAGATTTCGCTTGCCAATCGCGGCCAGGTGTACGATAGTACGATATATATTTAGAGGTTGCGTAATCATTTGGCCGTCGCGACTTGGCCGCTATTGTGCGGGCGCTCTTAGTTTATAGAGTCTTTCAACACTTGATAAGTTGGTTTAGAACACATATGAGAAGGAAGTAGTAAATAAGGCCACAAAAGCCTTAATGGTATGCAGAAACATTGCGGGTAAACGATGAGGATGTAACCCGAACACACTGCTATGGATGTATACTGCAATAGTGAGACCAATCATCACTTACGGGGATATAGCCTGGAGTAACAGAACTAGTTTAGTTACTACGAGAGCTTATATCTCAAAAGTACAAAGACTAGCCTGTGTTTGAATCACCAGTGCAATGAGAACCTGCCCTACGGCTGCAATGGAGGTGATCTTAAACCTCACCTCTCTATTCATTTAATGATAGAGAATGTGGCAAAAAGGACACGATATAGAATGATCAGAAACGGAGTAATCAGACGAAAGTCTACTTGCTGCAGAACCAAAGATACCTGGGATATGCCCCAGGATTAAATGATAGAGAAGTAGTTTTGTGAAAAACTTCAACACCACAAAGATGCAAGAAAGAATGGAGCCACGAATCCATCGCGCTTGCAACCGAAAGACCTGCTATTCAGTGGTATACGGATTGTTCCAAAACCATGGAAGAAACTGGAATAGGAGTGTATGGGCCGAGAACCAAGCACTCCGAAAGCTTGGGAAAATACCCAAGCATCTTCCAGGCGGATATTTACGCCATCGAGAAGTGTATCCAGTTTAACATCGAGAGGAACTATCGTAGACAAGAGATTATTATCATGTCCGATAGCCAAGCAGCCATCAAAGCACTGAGCTCAAAAATGGCCTGAAGGTGCCTAGAACGAATGAGCTAGGCGAGAAAAATAGAGTTACTCTCACTTGGGTTACGGGACATAACGGGGTACAGGGTAACGAGATTGCAGATAGTCTCGCAAGGAAAGAGGCTCAAGCACTCTTTGTGGGACCTGAGCCGTTCTGCGATATTAGCAGTAACATAATATTAGGAGCGATTAAACAAGAATTGGGCAGTAGAAGAACCGATAATTGGAACAATCTCTTGTGGCTGAGACAGGCCAAGATACTTCTGGGTGAATATAACCAGAAAAAACCGGAACCCTGCGTCTGCTGAGCAAGAACAGAACAGGTTTTGTATTGTAACAAGGATCCTTACTGGACATTGCCGACTAAAAGGACACCTTAGTAAACTGAGAGTAGTAGAAGGCAGTGATTTACCTAACTTGAAGCCACTCCAAATCCTACACTTCCTTGAGAAGATAGGATTGGAAGGGTCGTTATAGGCATTGAGACATTTCCTTGGGGCATTAGCGACAGAAGGGAGCACAATAGATCTTTTTAGGTCGAAGTGTATTAACATATCTCATTCCCAACATAACGTAGGTAAAAATAACATTGATTATTTATCTTATTTTTAAGATTTTAATTTTTATTATAAATGCTTCACTTGGGGTATTTATTTTAAAAAAATCAACTTGTTTCAGAGGTTTAGTTAAAAATAATTAATTAGATAGGAAATGTATCCGTTACTTATAGGTATGAACTGCATTGTATATATATTTTTTACCTTCAGTTTTAGTGAATTTGTAGGTTATCACTTTATTCGATTTTTCTGGTGGCATCAACAATCTATTTTTTGATAAGAACGATGCATTATAAAGTTCCAAATATTTTTTATTGGGATCTAATGTCATCTTCTCCCACGCCGGTCGTCTGTCGTCTAAATTCCTTTGTTTCATTAATTTTTCTATATCTTTTATTTTCTGCGCCTCGGCCTGTTTATCGTCCTCTGTATCTGTAACTTTTATATTTTCTCCATGTTCTTTAACTTTTTCCCTTTCGTCTTTTCTTAGCTGTTCTAGTTTTCTCTTTCCTCCATACTTCTCGTCATGTATCTCCTTTACTTTCTTCTTTAATCGGGAATCATTGTCTGGTTTGCCAATTGAGAGGTGTTGCTTGAAATTTTCGAGAATGCATGTCATGTCCTGAGCAAGCTAAAAAAATAACAATTATTATAAATGTTACTTAACTGAGGTTTATTTTTAAGTCTGTTACCTTTTCAATATTCGTATTGGTGTCATAATCGAAAATATTTCCATTATTGATCTGCTTCAATCTAATCCTGGTGTCTTTATCAACCACATTTTGACATGTCGCCAATATTTCTGTAATTTCCGTTTCGAGAGCTTCTAAGGTACTTGAAGGCAGATTTTTTCTTAAATCGTAGTCATCTGTCATCATCTAAAACTGTAATAAATTTACTTAGTTCATCTGAGTGACATACATAGTGGTATTTCTTTATGTCTGTATTTAGAATTAATTAAAACAACTTCTAAAATTATTTCAAAATAACTCAAAAATAATAAAAACACATAAATCACAATTATTTAGTACTGGTGATTTAGATGGCTGGATCCGATTCTGGATCTGTCATTAATTGGGAAAGTGCCGGAATTTTTAGACGAATATTTGGATCGCTCGAGAAAAAAACCAGTTATGTTGCCACCAAGGTCGAGTTGTCTCCCGTCTTGAGCAGGTAGTTTTTTTGTGGATCGAATTGTCTCCCATCATAGGTCGAGATGTCTCCCAAGCTAATGTACATTAAAAGGTATTAATTTTCACAAATTACACAGTTGTTGCCAAGTCGCTTTGCCGTATCGCAAACCTGATAGGTGGCAAGTTGGCAACACTGAATGGTTGGCAACAGTGTCAACAGCTGACAGATGACATGACACGTGACATATTCCGCGCCTGCGCAGTTTAAAAAGTGTACCCAATACTTCTATTAACTGCTGGTATCACATAACCCTCTTCCCTATTTATAATTTTTTCCCCAAATGACGTCACGCTTGGGCAGATGACGTTGTAACGAAAACAAGTATTGCAAAAAGTAGTACTTATAGTCCCATAGAAGTGTGCCAAATTTGGTTGAAAAATATTGATCCGTTCAAAAGATAAAAGGGGGAGACTATTTACATCCGCACTGTATAGTGTATATTAATATATAAATTGAAAAAGGATTGTAGAAGTTAAATGCCCAAAAACTGCATTACAAATGCACCCTATGGAAGCAATCCAGAAAAAATATAACATTTTGTACGCTTGATGAAAATTTTCAGATGCAGTTAAAAGAAACATAACTATTTTTATCAAGTACAAGGTCAGCTACACGTAACTCAATGTTCATTATGTTACTTTGTAGTTTCGACTCCAATGGGAATATTACTTAAAAAAGTGAGTTTTATTGGCTCTAAAAATAAGGTAAATGTTTTTCTGGCAACATATTGAAGTTTCAAACCAATATTCTCGCTTATTTAAGTTTGTGTCGCAATAAAATGAATATTCATTGAATCAGCAAATATCTATGTATAGTAATATAAATAGTTTGTATTTTTTTTTTTTTTTTCAGATTTATTGGGACGATTTATTTCGGACTAATAAAATGAAACCAAAGCTAGAAAAATTTTACTACACCTGTCTCCTAACCGAAATAATTGATGCTAGATACCCGAGGAAGATAGAAATTCGCAATCCAACACCAGAATAATTACTTTCATATGTGTAAATATCTGAATATTCGCCGTCTAAATTCTTATAGTTAGATTTTGTAAATAAACTTTAACTTAGAATGTCTAGTTTACTTTTAAACCATATATTTATTACCTATGACTTTAAACATTGCAAAATTTACTATTTACATAAAAATCCTGCAAGGCCTGTTTTAGTTTTGATAAAAAAAATAAAAATAAAGTAAATTGAAATGAAATAAAATAAAAACCCTTTCCTCCGACCATGAGTGCTATCTGTGTATCGTAGTAAATTCGCTTGAACATTCGATCATGTATGTATTGGAATAGATACGCCTTGTTTAAATAAATAATTATCGTATGATAATAAGGTCCATAACCGCTTGCACAACAAACGATGGTACATAACACGCCAAATCTAAAGAACCAGCGCAAATGCTCAAGTTCGTTTACTTAAAAATCGCCACGCCCATTCACAATTTGAACCTTGTCCTTGCTTACGGTCAGTAGCCTAACGACTAGATCATTGTTTGTTTATTGTTTCTGTGTTTTGGTTAAAGTGACTGGTTTTATTTTTGATAATGTCTTCTATTGTGGGTGAAAAAAAGCGCAGATCTGTTATTAACGGACAAAGTCGTGAAGTAATATACAATGTTTTTAAATATTTTGACGCAACAGAAAAGGAAGGAGTTACTTTAGATGATATCAAACTTCAAACTGCACAAGCAACAGGTAAACATACTCTGTAGTTTATTTGCAATTAAACTTGCGTAGTTTTCCATATTTTTTTATATTTTACACACATATCTATGCATTTTATTTTTGATTAATATTTTATATTTTAATTTTTAAAATTTATCTTCTGTTTCTAAAAATTTTTGTTTCCTAATAAATGTAAAAAATACTAAATTTAATGTTAATATAATATTACGTTTTTACAGGTTTTTCTTATACTACCGTTAAAAGAATTTTGAAGGAAGGTAAACAGTCAATGAAAACAACTGGAAAAATTACATTTTCCACACCTATGAAAAACTTTGTCAAAAAATCAACCGCTACGAATCTCTTAGAATATGAATTGAGGGACATTCGAAGAATAATTTACGATTTTCATATAAGAAAAAAAGTTTCGTGTTACTGTTAAAAGGTTAAATAATAAAAATTTTTAATAAGGTATTCAGAAGGAAAACCCTAACAATATGTAGGTTTTAAATATTTTTATTACAACCTGATTTTTTAAATAAAAAATTGGAACTAAAATTAAATTTTGTCAATTTGCATATATCAATTTCATATAAAGTTAACTACAATGCTTTATCAGGAGTGGTAAGTATTTAATACCATTTCATTTTATTTTCTTGATAGTTTCGGCCTTTACTTGATGAAAATCCATATTATTAAAATGAGAAAAACCAAACATGGTAGATTTTCACAGTTTTATTTTAAGAAATAAAAATTAAAAATTGCAGGACAATTGTTTCTAAGTACAACTTCTTCTTTAAATGTGACTCATTTACATTTCTAATATACAGTGCTTTTCAGATAAAAGTATCCACCTTAAGTAACTTTTGAAGGACTGATTATTACAAAAAACAAAAAAATACGTCAATTAATATTCAAAGGGGGAGATATCGTGCCATATTTAAGTTTGCTGAAAAAGTCACCCTTTCACCCCTACTATCATCCCTTCAATTTTTTTAAATGGCTTCCCCCATTTTTTTATCCATTTTTGGATAGTTCTCGTTTAACTGATTTCAAAAATGTATAAAACATGGGGTTTAAAATAATTAGTTTATGATCTACAGGGTTCCATTATTTGAGTGACAAATTTTTACATCTCACCTTACTGACTGCAGCAAAATTGGATTTAGAATACATTATACCTTAATCGTACCGCTAAAAACTTGTTGAAGTTTTTTATGATACATGGTAAAGGTATTGGAGATTTGAAAAATGAATTTAAATTACTTTTATAGTGTATTTTGATACATGTGCACATTGATTTGTTGAGGTTATTTATTTGATTTGAAAATGGTTTACAGTTTACAAGAAAGAAGGTTTATACTACAAAAATAACAGTTCTGCACGAGCTGCTGCTAGAATTTTCAACGAAACACACCAAGGAGGTCATGCAACTCATAAGTATGTAATTGATCTTATGCATAAATTTACATCAACCGGGTCAGTTGGCAATAAAAAACATAACCGACTGGAACTCGTAAATAACGAAGCAATTGAAGTCGCAGTTTTAGGACAAGTAAGTCTTGAAAATCAACAAGCACAGTCACTGACAACAATAAGCAGAGAAGTAGGTGTTTGATCTTCCACAGTTTATCGAATATTACACAAGCATAAGTACCATCCATACAAAATTAAATTGGTTCAAGAGTTGTGTGAAGATGATTTTGATCGTCGTCTTGAATTTTGTGAACTATTGAGTCAGCGCTTGACTGACAATCCACATTTGTTGCACAACCTTTGTTTTTCGGATGAATGCACATTTTCAGTTAATGGTTTAGTTAATAGACATAATTGCAGATATTGGGCTGAGAGTGATCCACATGTTGTGCGTGAATACCACACACAGAATTCTCAAAAGTTAAATGTATGGTGTGGTATCCTAGGTGACCACATAGTCGGACCTTTCGTTTTAGACGGAAACTTAAATGGAGAGTAATATCTTGAGTTATAGAGAGAAGTAATTGATCCACGTATTACAACAATAATAGAAAATTATCATAATCTTTCTGAAGATTTGCTTGTCTTTCAACAGGATGGAGCGCCTCCACATTTTGCTTTGCCAGTACGACAATTTTTAAATGAAACTATCCCCAATCGTTGGATAGGTAGAAGAGGCTCGATGATGGAGTGGCCACCTAGATCACCGGATGTATCACCTCTAGACTTCTTTTTATGGGGTTATTTAAAAACAAAAATTTATGCTACCCAACCAGAATCTTTAGAAGATTTACGACAAAGAATAGAGTATGAATGCCTACATTTAAATGCACACGTGTTCGGTAATGTCAGGGAGGCTTTTCAATCTAGGTTATACCATTGTATGAAAGTAAATGGTGGACATTGAAAATGAAATATTCGTTTTGTCATTGGAAACGCTTGTGACAAAATCATTAAAATAAAAGTTTTGGACAATTCAATTTTATTTTAATTTAAAATTCTGTAGATCGTAAACTAATTACTTTAATCCCCATGTTTTATACATTTTTGAAATCAGTTAAACGAGAGCAATCCAAAAATGGATAAAAAAATGGGGCAAGCCATTTAAAAAAATTGAAGGGATGATAGTAGGGGTGAAAGGGTGACTTTTTTAGCAAACTTAATATTGGCACGATATCTCCCCCTTTAAATATTAATTGACGTATTTTTTTGTTTTTTGTAATAATCAGTCCTTCAAAAGTTACTTAAGGTGGATACTTTTATCTGAAAAGCACTGTATATACAAAATAAACTAATTATTTAAAGTATATTAATAAAATTCCAATAAGACATCATTACGGGATTATCTCACAGAAAACTAAGAACAGGTAAAGAGATTTAATTAAGCTCAGTTATTAATATCTAATTGATTACTTAAGAGGATATTTGAATTTTTAAATCTATTTATTTCAAGTGTTTCTAAATGGTTTAATTTAATGCCTCTATTCTCAAAAGGTGAAACAATTTTTGCATAAACGATTGATTTTCAGATAAAAATATGTTTTGTAGAATTATTTTTGTTTTTAATATAACTATTTTAATGTTTTAAATAGCTTTTTTTTGAAATATACAATTTTACCAAAATTTAATTTATTTGAATAAGGATAATTTCCTGACTGTAACAGAATTTTATATAAATACCGAACGGAAAGCGGTAGAACAGCATGAACCTAAAGTCGGCTTACTTAAAAATAATGATTTTTTAATTGACTATAGAATTATGTATTAATAATAACACTAAGCAATATGTATGAACAAGTATCAATCACTATTTTCCATTTATTTTAAAATATCTTAAAATATACGCGCCCCTGGATCATATTCATAAAATTTATCATTTGTTTTCT